AAAGAGGGAGTTGTTATTGCATCCTGCAGAGGGAAGCCCCTTCTGTTGTGTTCTGAAATGTTGTCACTGGGATTTGTGGGGTTTGGTGGTTGTTGGGTTTGGGGGGCAGGGGTTTGTTTGTTTGTTGTTTTGGGTTTTTTAAAAATAATCCAGATGGTATTTCAGCATGTGAAAATCGATAACTACCATGTTGGGTCAGACTTGGAAACAACTGAGAACGCTAAGTATAGAAAAGAGAGGAAAGCCATGGTCTTTCCCAGGGTAATACAGTGCCTATTTGAGAAATGGAAGAGAAAGCACTGAAAACAAAGGGCACTGGAGTGACCAGAGATGTGAAAGGCAGGCTAAAGATTTATAGCTCTTCTGGGACCACTCTCTGCCTGTGGGTGAGAAGGTTGTGTAGTGAAGACAGGGTTGGTCTTTGGCACGTCCATGGTCTGACATGCAAGAAGTTACTCCCTGTTCAGCAGCCCAGACCCAAAAGTACAGTGCTCCCTGTAGACCACAAGTGTGTGTGGAGTGTCCCAAAGTGCTGCTTTTAGTAGTGTCCCCAGCTTGCTGCCTCAGGACATCTTTTAGGACATTTTGTTTGCAGAGTCAACCTCTGTCTGCTTTCTGTTCTCCAAAAACAAGAAGGCCATTTTGATATTTGTCAAGCACTTAAAATAGGCTTGCCTGGTGTATTTACATGTTAGAAATGTTCATTTTTACAAGGAAATGATAAATAAAGACTGTGTAAGCTGTATTTTTCTGAGGTGATCTTAGGCCACCTAACTAATTAATAATTCCTATGGACAGGCGTTAAAATCTGTGTTTTGCTGGGTGCTCTGGGGGCAGAGAGGCAAGTGCAGTCCTTGTCTGGGTTTAAGAAATTTGGCAATGAAACCTTCACGCAACAGAGCCCTACATGAGGAGGTGCTGGGTGTTTCAGAAGTGCCCAGTAAGCATCATGCTCCTTTGGATCCCCCAAAGGCATCATTCAAAGCAGCTGGCTCTCCCT